GATTTCAGAGAAAGCTGTGAAGGCAGAGCTGAGGAAAGGACACCAGGAGTCCCCCAGTTTTGTGGGGTCCCACAGTGTGTAAAATGCTAAAACCCCCTGGAAAGTAGATCCCATTTCTCTAACAGCTCATGTGTCACAGACATCACTTTTAGGCAGATTTTGGAACAGCAGGGGGCAAAACAATGGCACGACTGAAACCCGGCACTGACTCACACTTGATTTTCCTCCTTGGTGCCCATTTCAAAATCAACAGCATGTGACAAACATCAGTGCTGATGAGAAAGGCAACAGCTACCACACAGCCACTCAGCCACTCTCCAGAGGGTTTATTTTAGAGCAGCATTCCTGCAGGCAGCACCATCCCTGGGAATCTGCAGGTTAAACAGCAAACCCCGCTGAGGAGTTTAAGGCCAAATTGAGTCTGGTTATCACAGCAGGGAAAGCACATTTCATCTGTGAGCATTAGGGATGGCTCCACGGGAGAAGATGGGGGTCCATCTGTCGGGAGAGCACAGCAGAGGCTTGGCCCCACCCTCAGATGCATTATCTGCCACCAGTGGAGGTGGGGATGGAGCAGACACAGTCTGGAGACCCCTGGAGCTGGGGGGCACTGGGGTGTTTTGTTTGACTCTGCAGTGCCAAGAGACATGCCAAGATGTTGGATTCAAAGCTTTGGCAGCAAAAACAAACTGCAGCCTCAGCAAGGTAAAATAAATTCAAAGTTATGTCTAATTGGAGACGTTACCCTATAGGTGCTCATAAATCAGCTGGAAGAAAGACAGAAATTCTCTTTGCTGGGAGATTCCTGCCTTTCCCACCATGATCATTAAAGGTCTGGACATCACTTAGCAAAGAATTACAAACAGAAGGGAAAACCTTACGCTGTCTCATTTCCTCTGAACCCACTCCCACCAGGGCCAGGTTGGAATATCTGGCCCCTTTCTGCTCAACAAACCTACTCATTGTCTGAACACCTCCAGGGATGGTGACTCCACCACTTCCCAGGGCAGCCTGTGCCAGGGCTTCATCACTTTTTCAGTGATGTTTTCCTGATGTCCAAGCTGAGGCTGTTTCCTCCTGTCCTGTCTCCCTGAGGACAGACACACCCCCACCTCTGCACAGCTTTCTTCCGGGGAGTTGCAGAGAGCGACCGAACAACTTTCAGCTGACGTTCCACTCTGCACATCGTTTAAGAGTCAGTAGAAACAATCTGGCAAGGACACCCTCTAAGAGCTCACCCTGCCTGTCCTGAGCCCTCCTGCCCCCAGCCCAGCCCTGCCAAGGGGAGCGGGAGCTGAGCAGGCAGAACAACCCGCAAATTCATCACTTTCCCAGGGGTTTGGGCCAACTCCGGTGCCACTGAAAATCAATACCAGTTTTATCTTCATCCTAAACGGCAGCAGGATCCAGGCCACGGTAAACAACTTTAATCACATGTCTGAAGGGGTGGGTTCATCTCCAAAGTGCCGCGTCAGAGCCGCGCTCCTTCCCAGCCATAACTCCTTATTGATTCCAGCGTTGTTCCCAAACAGAAACTACAGCACAGTGAATAAAATTGTCAAGCTAAGCCCCAGCCCCTAAAATAAAAAGCACATAATTTAATCTTGTTCAGCTGTGTTTTCATATATCATTTTGGAAAAGCCATTATTAGATCCATACTCGAGAGTTTAAAGCTTTATTTTCTGAAAGCCTGTGTTGCTGTAAGCACAGGGCTTAGGGTATCATTAATCCATGTTCTGTTACTGTGGCACAGCAGATTCCTCACTTTGGAAAATATGTTCCATTTCAGAGACAAGCAGCATTGGAAAAAAAGAAAAAAGAAGAGGGGAGAGAAAAAGGGGGGAGAGAAAAAAGAGGGGAGAGAAAAAAGAAAGGGGGGAGAGAAAAAGAAAGGGAGAGAGAAAAAGAAAGGGGAGAGAAAAAAAGAAAGGGGAGAGAGAAAAAAAGAAAGGGGAGAGAGAAAAAAGAAAGGGGGAGAGAAAAAGAAAGGAGAGAGAAAAAGAAAGGGAGGAGAGAAAAAGGGGGAGAGAAAAAAAGGGGAGAGAGAAAAAAAGGAGGAGAGAGAAAAAAAAAGGGGGAGAGAAAAAAGGGAGGAGAGAGAGAAAAGGGGGAGAGAAAAAGGGGGAGAGAGAAAAAAGGGGAGAGAGAAAAAGGGGGAGAGAAAAAAGGGGGAGAGAAAAAAAGGGAGGAGAGAAAAAAGGGGGGAGAGAAAAAAGGGGAGAGAAAAAAGGGGGGAGAGAAAAAAGGGGGGAGAGAAAAAAGGGGGAAAGAAAAAAGGGGGAAAGAAAAAAGGGGAAAAGAAAAAAGGGGAAAAGAAAAAAGGGGAAAAGAAAAAGGGGGAAAGAAAAAAGGGGGAGAGAAAAAAGGGGGAAAGAAAAAAGGGGGAAAGAAAAAAGGGGGAAAGAAAAAAGGGGGGAGAGAAAAAAGGGGGGAGAGAAAAAAGGGGGAAAGAATAAAAGGGGGAAAGAAAAAAGGGGGAAAGAATAAAAGGGGGAAAGAAAAAAGGGGGAAAGAAAAAAGGGGAAAAGAAAAAAGGGGAAAAGAAAAAGGGGGAAAGAAAAAAGGGGGAAAGAAAAAGGGGGAAAGAAAAAAGGGGGAAAGAAAAAAGGGGAAGAAAAAAAGAGAAAAGGACAAATTTGAAATGTAAATGATACATCACAAAGCAAGAATTGGGGGAAAATATTAGGACTTTTATCATAATGAGTTTGTAACCTAAATACATATTTCAAGGATTAAATTGCTGACCCTCCCTGACCTCCACAGGAGGCTGAATAGCTCAACAGCAGTTTAATCTGCACTGAAAAGGCTACAGAAGAATAACACAGCCCTTGAAGAAGGAACATATATTACTGATGCCCCAAGATTCACAATTTAACTCTTAAGAGGAGGGGAAAAAAACCCAAGCTCAACCCTCCAGCCATCAGTCTCACAAGACCCAACACTAATTTTCCTCAGAAACAAAAAGGAGATAAAACAAAACCCACACAGTAGGCTAGAAAATGAGGGATTGCTCAGATGAAGGGTGAAGCTTCAGATGCCCAATTTGATTTTTGCTTAGAGGCAGAGCTTTTGCAACAAACTTAAATCACTCTGTATTTCATAATCCAGCTAATTCTGGTTGCAATCCCTTTGATTAGGGAAGACAAAAAGATCTGCTGTTTTCCCAAAGCACAGAGCCCACCTTGAAAAACCCTAACTTTTATTTCTTTAATCCAAATATTTCCAATCTGATTACAGTGTTTTATCAACCTAAAGTAAAATTTAGGAATAGAAAATGTATCCATTTATCCACTACTTTAACTGGAAAAGAACAAGCTTTTGAGTCCAGTCTTCTTAACCAGGAATCAGTCAAACCAGATATGTGAGAAGATGAGGTGTTTCCACTCAGCTGGTCCGTGGCTACTGCACTTGTCAGCAACAGGAATCATGGAATCACAGGAATCATGGAATCACAGAATAGTCTGGGCTGGAAGGGACCTTAAAGACCACCCAGTGCCACCCCTGCCCTGGGCAGGGACACCTTCCACCAGCCCAGGTTGCTCCAAGCCCCGTCCAACCTGGCCTTGGACACTTCCAGGTATCCAGGGCCTCCCCACTCTCTGTGGGACTGGAAGAATCCTCCCTTCTACTCCCATATCTCAAATTTTGAAGCCCAGGACCTGCATTTGAGGAGCTGCAACCTGGCACCTGGCTTGTCCTCCAGTGATTGAACTCAGCAAACATCTGAGCCTGCCATGGGGTGCTGGAGGGCTCTGCCCTGAGGGTGCTGCTCCCCAGGCTGCCCTGGGAGCTGGTGGTGGCCACAGCCCCGAAGGCAGAGCCCCTGCAGGACACGTGTGCCCAGAGCAGCAGAACGAGGTGGGGTTTGTAAGCGATCACCTTGACACACTGAAATGGGGAGCGATGAGAACGGGCCTCGAGGAAGATGTTTATTACCCATCCCCGGTGAAGAGGCACCTTCAGTCATGGAAAAACTCACGCAGGTCATCAGCAAGAGGGTAATACATTGTAAACTACACAGGGAGACAGAGGACTTGACTTCTCCCTCTGTATTATTTCTCATTACAAATCATCTCTCTATAGAGTGTGAACCTGGGGTTTATTGGCATTTTTATCTTCTCATTTTTGTAGCTGGAGCACATCAACTTCTCTTACCAGTCAGTCAAAAGCACCTTTCATTAAGCCCTGCTGAAAGCTCTCCATTACTGAGAGCTTTGTGTCTGGGAAGGGTCTGCCTTGAACTCCTGCACGCTCCTCCAAGGATATTCCAGAGCAGCTCCTGCTGTAATGACTGTTCTGCTGTGTACACCCCTCCCAGGACAACAGCACAGAGAAATCAGAGATGACGGATGAATGAGCCCCTGTATTTATTCTCTGCCTTCACCTTCACAACTACAGCAGAAAACAAGATGACTCGTGGCCCTGAGTCATCGTCTGCCCACTCTCCCAGACTTCATCCTCAGAATGGCTGTACAGAAGTTCAGATAAAGCTCATTCACAGCAAGATCTGTGCCTTTTCCCATCCTCCCTTTTCAGCAGGAAGCTGCAACTCCGATTTAACCCCAAATAAATAACAAAGCCCATTTTCCCTTTTACACCCGGAGTCGCAAAATATCCCCACATCTGAGAGCACCTGTACCACAGACACACAGGACTCGGGAAATCTGTCCCTGTGACTTCACTCCTCACAGAGAGCATCCTCCTGCTAACAGTTTGAAGCTTTAATTCTCCAAGGAAAATAAAAAACCCCTGTGAGATCCCATTTACCAGATCCTTTCCCAGAAGGTCCTTTCCCCGAAAAATATTTTACTCTGCATACTACGTATAGTTTTAGCTAAATAAAGATAAACCAAGATTCCTTATTCACATTTCCCCTCTTTCTCTGGCTCCACGAACAGCTCTGAGGACACTCCATAACCAGTTAGGAAAGGCTGCAAAGGAGATGCCTATCCCAGCTTTTCCAGCACGCTGAGGGAAGAGAAGCTGCCCTCTTTACTTACAGGCAAACTGAAGCTTTGCTTCTCTGCTGACAATGGTTCCGAACGGGTTTGTTGCTACACACTGGTATGTTCCAGTATCCTGGGTTTTATTGGGATTATCGATCAGCAGGTTGCCTTCCACCAGGCTGTAGCGGAAATCCATCCCCACGTCAATACTGGTCCCATTTAACTTCCACCTAGAGCACAAAATGCCAAAGTTACATTCTGCTGATATTAATGGAGGCTCTTGGGTATTTCAAGCTACAGCACGAAGTAAATAAGGAGAGATTTAGAACGCCTTTGACTACTTATTACAAACAAAAAACAGGGCACAAAAATGCAAATTTCCTGCACAGTATTGAAATATTCCAGTATTTAACTGAAAGAGCAATATCCTTGACATATATTTCAGTCTCTGAAATGATTAATGCTTCTGTAGTTGCTCGTGCTGCTGCTCTTTGGAATTAATCACTTTGCAAGGGGAAGTCCCTGAAACAGGATCTCTAAACCACTCAAGTCCACAGAGGGTTTTTTTTTTCCCCTCCTCTCCCGACTTGCTGGCTGTTTGTTTTTAAATTTCAATTTCAATTTCAATTCACTCACAGCAGATGCTGTCACAAACTGGGGCACTGAGTAACTCCAGCACTGCTCTGGCCCAGTTAGAGCTGCCTCAGCCCCGCCAGCCCTCGATGGAGATGTGGCCCCTCCACCACCAGAATGTGCAGAGAAGCTACTGGAATGTGTTTGCACCAGTGAACCAGCAGAGTTTACTGCATTAAACAGTTGGCTGTGTCAGAAAGCAGCCCCGTGGCTGAGCCCTGGTGGCTCTAATTGGTTTCAGGGCGGCATTTACTTTGGTGAGCAAAATGAGAGAGGCACTAAAGGAGAGAAAGCAGCAGCCTCAGTGACCTCCAGCAGCAGCAGCAGCACCGTAGCATCTTCCTGCAAGGATCCCAAAGCAGCTACTAAAGCTGAGAGGAACTGAGAGCTTTGCCCATGTTTAGGCAAAAGGATGGTTAGCCCAAGACTATTTGTTATCCCTTCATAACCCCTTTGAGCTCTTGTCCACATTTTGCCACTGAGCTGCAATGTGTGGTGATTTCCCAACGTGCATTTCCCCTGTTTCTAATGCTCCTGAATCGTGGAATAACCTGAGCTGGAAGGGACCCACAAGGACCATCAAAACCCAGCCCAGCACAGGAGACCCCAACAATGCCACCACATCCCTGACAGCGTTTCCAGGCTCCAGGGGCATCACTGAGTGATGCAGGCAAGAGGAAGGACCTTGGGTGGTGCTGCTGCGTGGTGGATGGTGCTAAGGAACAGTTAAATTCACTTAATGCTAAAAAACAGTTGAATTCAACAAACCCAATGGTTGGTCTGGGATTTCCTTTCACTTCACAGCTCAGCTTCACTTTCTTTTCCTCTGAATCCAAAGGGAAGATCAGGCTGTTGGGCTCCTGAAGGAAAACTGGCCCATGCAGTGTGTTGTCATCTGCATGAAACAAGGAAAATGTGACAGGTGATTGATGGAATCTCCATGTTCCCACTCTTAAAACATGAAACAGTGTCTTAGCAGCAAGAGGCCGTGTATCATTCACCTTGGAAAAGATCTGATGACACTTTGTTTTGTTTGTAACAGCAGATTTTTTTTTCCAAAGCCATTGAATCTCACACAGAGTCAACATTCACAAAAACTGTGCATTAAAATAGGGGAGAGAATGAAACTTCACCCAAAGTTCAAATGAATGGGAAGAGGGACGATCCTGTTGTCATAGCAAAGCTCAATTCATATCAGAATGCTTAATTTACCTTGAAAAAATGGAAAAATTTTCCTTGTAAACTAAAACCCCACATTATTAAATGCAGTTACCCAGTAATGTGAGCTGGAGGGTCCCCAGCAGGTCCAGCCCCTGTTGGTTCTGGGGGATTCCTCAGGAATTCCCTGGCTCCAGCCCAGCACCACCCTGGCAGTGAGGGTCCCAAATGCTCAGTGTGACCGGTGCTGACAAGGACATCACATGCCTGTGCACTTTGGAGTATTAAAAACTCACACTAAATATAGGTAGAAGAGTGAAAATATTTTGGCAGAACAACCTGACATGACCTTCAAAGAGTTCAGGAGTCATTTCACAGCAATGCCACACAGCCTGAGGATGGGGATTACTCACAGGAGCCTCCCTTGTGCTGACTTTAGTTCTTTATTTTACAAATACATTTTGATCTGTTGAGCTGTTAACTCCTTCCTGTCTCCTTTCCTCTCTCCTCAACCACTCTCCATTTTCACCTTAACAATTCATCCTTTCTCAAACTTGGAGTTAAGGGTGAGTGCTGCTCACAGGGCCATCCCCAGAGCACAGCTCTGCAGCGAGCGCCGAATTTCACGAAATACGTCAATATTGCCCAAAATGCCCACAAAAAGCTACAACAAAAATTCACTGCTCCCCATCCTGTTTGTATTAGACAGTTTTATCTTCCCAGTAGCTGTTCAGAACATAAAAGAAACCAACTCTTCTTCCCTGAAAAAGATCATCCATCTTGATTTCACCAGGACTTCTCTGCTCATCAGTGGCGATGTCCGGCTGCCTCCTCTAAGTACAGTGCAAGTAAGGACACAGTAAAACTCCTCACAGCCAGAGAGTCTTTCAGTTGAGTGAAAGGAACCTCGACTTAACATTTTTTGAACATTTTCCAACCTGTTTCTGCCCTGCCTTTACAGCAGAGAAAGGGCAATTGTGTGGACCATTGGGTACCTGCAGGGATGTGAGCACTGACTTCCCTTTAGTCAGGCAACCAGAAGTCCATCTTGATGGACACACAGGAAATTCGGGGGTATAGGAGGTCAGAGGAAAATGAATAAATAAAATATAAAGATGATGGGCTGTACAAAAAAAATACAAAAGGAAAAGGGATGAGCAGAAGACAATGGATCTTCCCCACGGGAGGAGCGTGAGAATGACTGTGAGCAGCCCTCACATCCCCCGACACCAGGAAATCAGTTGGATTTACCAGGGACAGAACAATAGCTCTTTACTCCAGGGAGCAAATTCTGCCTCTCCACAGAAGCATTTCACAGAGACTCTGCCAGGAAGATTATAAAGGAGCAGCCTCTCCCCTATGTCTCCTCCCTCAGGCCCCACCACAAAAGGGAACACGGTCATATCACTTGTATTTATCTTTATTCTTAATTATGTGTTAATGATATCTGGCTGAAACTCATCTATTATTCAAAACACATTTCACATCCTCTCTAGCTTTAAATTATACCTGTGTGCCACTTGCTGTTGCTGGTGGAAAAAGATAATAATAACCATAAAGCAAACAGGGCTGGATTGTGGTATCTGGACTTGTTTCTGAGACCCAGGGCTGTTCACTCCCTAAACAGTCTCATTTACCCTAAGAAAAAAAAATTACAATCTGCCTGTGCAATTAATTGGTAAGCAAAGTACACTTTCAAAAACACAGACTAAAGGCAGAGAACTGTGAAGGTAGAAATAGTCACAAATAGGTGAAAACACTGAATAACTTAGTTTTTCTACTAAATCACTCAGTTTGCTAAAAAAGAAACTCATGAAAAAAACCCAAATGAAACCACTTCAAAATCTTCCACCTGCTGCTGACACTGTTTAAGATTCAGCTTTTATATGGCAAAAAAATGCTTTCCCTTCCTTTTAGCCAGCAAGAAGCAAAGCCCTGGTGGGACTTTCAAGCAAACAGTGTTGGGTGAGGCAGGAGAACCTCTGAAAGCAGCTGCCAGCACTCCAGGGGAACAGAAGAGGAGGAAAAACCTTGCAACACTGGGTAGATAAAAATTATTTTTGAGTGCCTTTCTTCTTTCTCTTATTGCTGCCTGTGTATAACCAAGATAAGCAAGTAGAAACTATTTAATCTTCAGCCTGTAGAGTCCCTTGGCTACAGTTTAATGCGTGATTGAAATCACTGCAGCCCGGATCCTACCTCTGTGTGATAAGAGTTGAGCCACAGAACCTTACAGGAGAGGAGGATTTGGTTCACAGGACACTAAAGAGCCACTAATAAATAAAACAAACTGCCATCTAGATTCTTGCAGACAGAAAACTAGAAGTGCCTGTACCATAAATAGCCCATTTTGGACTAAGTTATGTTACTCAGATGTTCGGTGTCAGCACAGGCAAAGGCATTTGCTCTATTGAAGTGTCTGATTTTGTGGGAGCAAAGTTTTGCTATTTGGATAACTCTGAAATGTGAATTTTACACCTTTTTTTTTAAGTTAAAACTGGTAACTTTGTTTCTATGCAATAACGTCCAGGACTTGCAGTCATAGAGCAATGATATCCCAGTTTTTAACCTATCACTGAAGGACCCCACGAGCTGCTCAATCTACAGAAGCCCAGCAATGCCAAGAGGGGGCTGCTTCCTGAGCTTAGAGGGCTTTTCTCTTGTCCTTCTCATCAGACTGTGTTTAATAAGCTCTCTTTTGGTCACTTCATCAAACAGAACAAGTTACCTCGGAATGAACATGAAACACCCTCAGCTTAAAGACAACCTACACACCAGAGTGGTTACCAAAAAGCATTTTCTCCCCCACTCTGGATAAAACAAATGTCCTACTGCTCTGGGTGTGCCTCCTTTGAGAGAAGTGTATTTCTTTCAGTAAGATGCAGGATCTAAGAAGTTTCAGTTGACTTTATCATCAAAGAAACATTTTAAACACAGAAGGAGGTGTGTGCCCATATGGTGTTGGACAGAATGTGATAGATCATTTAGAAGAACATTCTGCTATCCAAGCTTCTGCTAGATATATAATTTTCCCCCCAGTGAATCACAAAAATCTATTAAAAAATGCCAGGTTAATTTAAACACATTCCAAATGAGGAGTGTCCCTCCACTACCCCAAACCTGAGAGCCAGCACATCCAGTTGGATGCTAAATGCTTGTCATCTTCCCGTGCTTTTGAGGAATTGAAACGTGAAGAATGTCAGCTGAGGTTAATTCACATGAAACAGGTGAAACCATTCCCATTCTCTCTGAACATTAAGCCTGGTGACAGATCCTGTTACCTAAATAGAACTGCTTTAATTTCCACTGAAAGTTATGGCCAATTTGAGAGGAAGTTTAATTGAATATTCCACACCGTAGGGAAAGATAATAACTAAACTGAAGAGAGAATTTCTGGAGTATATCCAGTGGAAATGAGAAAAAATCCTTTCCTTGTTTGCTGCCCAGGGAATTGCTCTCTGCTGTGTGTGCTGGTGTGTTTTCATACAGTGCTACAAGTCAGTATTTCTTCAAGACAAAACTGCACCTTGGGAAGAGCAACTCTTCAGAAAAGAGGGAAGTGGGATGGAGAGGACAGCTCAAGGGCACTGCTGATCAACACAACAGCCTGCTCTTCAAGGTTAGCAGCTGCATTACGTCCTCCTGAGCAGGAAAAGACTCAATTGGATGCTCACTCCCTATTTTTTGCCCATCACTTCTATAACATCACCTGCACACCCAAATGGTGCCAATGGCCTTGAAATTAAAAGACAGAAATGTTTGCACCTCATAGTTCTGCTGCAAATAACTCCATAGACTTCTCCATGAACAAGACCTGATAAAGGTGCTTCCCATCCAAAGAAAAAAAATTCAACTAAAGACGAAAATAAAGGAGATTTAAAAACTGTCCTGTCTGAAGTGTTGTTTTAAAGGGAAGGGTCTCGTAGCTCCTGTATCTTTGGGACCAGCCACCAGCCCTCCTCCCCCAGTCACTCCTCCTCACCACTGCACCAGAGCTGACCCATGTGCTTAGAAAACCAGTCAAGATTAATAAAGAGAACTAAACAACAACAGTGATCAGATATTTTCATCAGGAGCAAAACTGAAACGAATGGTGAGGTTCCTTCCCTCATCATCATCATCACCCCACCACTGCATAAGATGCACTTTCTACTATTCCACTGCAATAATCTGAACCCTGGCAGCAAAAACACCCTCCCAGAGCTCTTGTGTGAGACACTCCCTGAGCCTTGCTGCTGGGTTGAGAAGCTGGATGGGAAGAAGAGCCACCACCTCCTTCCTGACTCCACGATGCAAGACTGGGCTTCTTTCGCAGCACCTACAGGTCTCCAACATGGACCAGGAGCCAGACAGCTCCTGCTGCTACCATCTCACTCCTCCTGCTGCTATCACCTCACTCCTCCTGCTATCATCTCTCTTTTCTGACATCCTTTCATGTCCCAGCTCGCTGCTGTACCAAGTACAAGTGCAGCTGGAGTGGAAAGCCGGGCCTGGCAGGTGACAGCTGATAGGCAAGAGTCTGATCCCCGAGTTCAAAAGCAGTGTCAGATATTCCTCAGAGACCGTAAAGGCAGCCACAAAAATCCAGGAGACAGGAAGAAATAAATCTTCCCTCTCGTAAATGCAGGCATGGAAGGGCTCCAGCATTTGCAATAGAGACAGCAGTGGTCTGACAACTCTATTTACGAGCGACCCGAGGATCTGGCGCAGTCGGAATTGAAGGCAGGGTTAAGCACA